CCCTAAACCCCTAATCCTGGGAGATCCAAACCTAACCCCTAATGCTCCTTGCTCCTCCAACCCTGCAAATGCAGCAATTGTAGAAATAACCAAGATGCAGGAGGTCAAGCAGCCCTAGTGGTGACCTTGCGTGCCAAGCCAGGCGCAGGCAGGCCTCACTGGGCCCATTGCTGCAGCACACACTGAGACTGAGAGGCTCAAGCAAAGGCAGAACTCCAGCTGCAACTTCCCCTCTTGCGCCGACTTTTGGTCAAGGCGGCCATGTTAGGTCGACCCTTCATCTTCAACCCCTCCTGACCGCAACCCGCCCCCAAGGAAACGTTAGGGCAGGGGGCGGAGACGCGCCCTGTTATGGTTTGCGTGATGACGTTCAAAGAGCGAAGACGGCCAATCGGCGGCGGTGGCGGCAGCGCAAATTAATCGCGATGGCGTCACGTGGGCAGGGCGCGGACGCGCGCTCGACCAATCAGCGGGGCGCTGCGCCCGTTGTGGGGGGGGGCATGACGTCTTGGGTAGGTGGGGCCTGAGCGGAGGGTTGGGTTTTTCGGGGCAGGCTCGTCCAATCACCGGGGAGGAAACGGCGGCTGGGTGGAGTAAACGCTCGCGTTCAACCAATCGCCGGACAGGCTCTCGTTATCCAACGAGGTAGGCGGGGCTCCGTCCGCCGTTTTAGTGGGAAGACCAATCACTTTAGGATGGCGTCAACGGGCTCCGCCCCGCGGCCGGCTATACCAATCAACGTGGGGACTCGTGTCTGCATGTTAAAATGTAATAAGGTCAAGCCGCTGGGGAGAGGGCGGGGACCGGAGACCAGCCTCCGCCAATCCGCGCGCCAACAATGGAGCACGTGATGCGTTGGACCAACGGGGCGTGCCGCGACTGTAGGCCTGACCAATCCCCGAGGGCCGTCGCCGCTGCATATCTAATGAAGGTGACGTCAGCGCGCTGGCTGACGTCCTGTGAGGTGGGGGCTGGCGGAGTCCAGGGAAGGAGGACATTGCGCGTTGTGGGGGAGGGGAGGCGGTCATGGCGGCGGTGGCGGCCGCTCAGACACAGACGGTGATCGGTAGCATCAAGACGGAGGAGATGGAGACCGAGGAGGAGGAGGCGGCTTTCCGCAACGGGATGAAAGTGTCCGGCGGCGGGGGGGGTTTGTTGGTCGAGGTGAAGCGAGAGCCCGGGCTCGACGAATCTCCTCCGCAGCCCCCTCCTTCTCAGCAGCAGCAGCATCATCATCATCATCAACAACAGCGCCGCGGCTCGGAGCCTCCGGAGCGATCTCCCCCCGGCGGCGCCAGCCGGCACTGCAGCGGCGGCGGAGGCGCGGCAGGCGCGGGCCAGTCCTCCAGCGCCAACAATGCCCCCGGCGGCCGCGAGCAAGAGGTGACCGTGGAGATCGGAGCCACTTACCTGTGCAGGAGGGCGGACAACAGCTGGCGTAAGCACTAGACTTATATCCCGTCACCACCCCCCCCAGCGCCAGAAATGACAAAACAACCCCCAGGATGGACACCCCCCCCCCCCCCCCCCACCCCACCCCGAGACCGGTCTCCACTCCTGCCTTCCTCCGCTGTTGTCCTCCCAACAATCTCTCGACGACCTCCTTTCCCCCCGGCGTTGCTCAGCCAGACCGGAGCGAACCCACAGTTGGCTGTCCCCGAAGGATACCCAACCAGACTGAACTGCTGTCTTATTTTCACACCCTGCTATCGACCGCCGGAATCGGCTAGGGTTCGCTTGATGACCTCCTTTGCCGTCCAGTGTTGCTCGGCCAGACCAGAGCGAGCCCCTATTTGCCTCGTATGCTACCCCAAGGGGTACCCAACCAGACTGGATCACTCTTCTTTTCGCACCCTGCTATTGACCACCGGCATCTGCTGGAGTCGGCCAGATTTCGCTTGATGACCTCCTTTGCTGTCGGAAAAAAAAAAAAAAAAAAAAACGACCCCCCCTCCCTCCCCCCCCCCCCCCCAATTTGCCTCCCATGCTCCTTCAAGGGGTATCCATCCAGACTGGAACAGTGGAACAACCGGAATTGGCCAGGGATCGCTCGATGACCTCCTTTCACTCCCGGCATTGCTCGGCCAGACCGGAGCGAGCCCCTGTTTGCCTCCCATGCTCCTCCAAGGGGTACCCAACCCGACTGGATCACTTGTCTTCGTTGCACACCCCGCTATTGACTGCGGGCACCGGCTTGAATCGGTTGACAACCTCCTTCCCTGCCCCCCACACGCGTTGCTTAGCCAGACCAGAGCGAGTCTCCATTTGACTCCCATGCTCCCCACAAGGGGTACCCAATCAGACTGGATCAGTGAATTCTTTCCACCCCCTCCCCTATCGACAGCTGGAGTTGGCCAGGGATCGCTTAATGACCTCCTCATCATCCCTGGCGTTCCTCAGCCAGACCAGAGCGCGCCACCATTTGCTGCCCCCAAGGGGTACCCAATTGGACCTGAGAGCTGTCTTCATTCCAACCCTTCCCCTATCAACTGCCAGCCTCTGCTGCAGTCAGCTGGGGATCATCCCCCAACCTGGCGTTGTTCGCCCAGGATGGAGTGCTACC